GGGTCGGATGTGGTTATGCAGCCCCACCTCAAGTAAACAAACCCCAGTCACCTCTTATACGGGACCGGTGGTAATAGGGGTTTTTACGGGTGGGGCCGGAGAACGCACAGGCGAAGAGGTCAAGTAGTTGTCTGCAAAAGGAAAGCTATTGGGAATGCGCGGTTGTACATTGAATGGTTAAGAAGTAGTTGCCGTAACCCTAACCTGATCCTTAATCCCAACCCCAACAGTATTGTGTCCAGTAGGTGGGACTACCAAACCACATCTTACCCGCGGATGTACTGTGAGTGGTTGAGAAAGGGTTGCCCTAACCCCCAACCCCAACAGTATTGTGTCTATCAGGTGGGACTACATAACCACATCTTACCACAAGGGGGTACCGCGACAGCCATTTCGGTCTTATTAGTCGTCATTAGCCTCTAGTATTTAACTCTGAGAGGTCGCTACATTGAGGCCCGAGAAACAACAGGGCGACCATACCCGTAACCCTGTCTTCCGGTTCACCGCAATACGTCTCAACAGGCTACCTGGCGCCCTTACGCAACTACGCTTGTGACCGATTGGGTGGTTGCTGGTTTGTGAGTTTGGGCACTCGAGGGGGAAGAGCGACTAACGTAGATACCGTCGAGTACAACCCAAAACAAAATAACGCATTTTTCGTTATCCTAAATATGGCATGTTTGAGTCAATCACGCCATGCAATAAGTCGCGGTCTGAAGGCTTACGAGTTGACTGGAAAACTCGTCCTTCTCAGAACTGTTAGTCAGACTCAGAGTCTCTTTCTTAAAGTGACTTTTTGAGCATTCTCACGCAGGTGGGATCTCGGCCTCTCTCGTGAAAGCCTGGTACAATCTGCGTAGAGGACTTGTTTGGTTTTGTGAGTCACTACGTCCGATTCCGCCCTCAGTTGTCTTGGGATTCTCTTGCAGTCAGAGGACGGTGGGTCAGGGAGTTGGTGAATACAACTCCAACATGGTTAGTATTCCTGGCCGCAATCGACAGGAGAAACCCGTGGCTCAATTATTAGTGCGTTGGACTAAATAACGCCTGATGAATCAAGGACTTGGATAAGGTTGTTTGAAGACGGCCGATAAGTTAGAAATGTCTGTTTCAGTATCATGAGAAAAAGTCCAGGTCCACAGATAAAGTACACCAACTCGACTGCAAGGCTGTGTTTGCTTGAAAAAATTCGCACAGGTTTTTTAAATAAGTGTCCACTAGGTACTCCGAAGGCATTTGGTTTTTAAGGAGGGGGTGTACACTGATGTCATCGAAAGGTTTTTGTCTAATTGTGAAAATGTGGACATACACTGCCACTAATCTGGCATTCTTAATCACCGCTACGGGAATTGGAACTCCCCGCATAGCAAGTGGCCTTGCGCTAAGTCATACGGCGATTAGCGCTAGGGTTAAGGTGGAGTTGGGGTCAGAGCACGGAAAAAAGGAGCATGGTACGAAACCACCTACATTACGGGAGGGGTTCCTATTCCGAGAAAAATGAAGTGCTAACCGGATCAAGTGACTTGTGCTGTTGATATTTCAAAGAGGTTAGTCGGCTCTCCATTATTAAAGCGTTTGGTGCAAAAGTCGACCAGAATTTTGAATAGACGACCGAATTTGTTGACTTGGCCCTTTGACAGTCTTTTGTGAATTTTGTTGGCCTCCTGTGCTTGCGTCGTCAGTTTAATTGGGGTTAGTTGCGTTTATGCCTACCTTATGGGTGAATTGGCCAACGGCCGTGTTTGCTTGGTATTCTTAAGCTCAGTGTGTCTGTCTTGCCTTGATAATGGCGTATGGTAGTGACGTAGGACTTAAAAGGCCGAAGGAAGGTCTGGATGCCTGTTGATGGGGTTGGCATCTGAGTACCAAGCCTCAAGTGTGATACGTTCTGTCCTTGATGTGCTCCCGCCTTAGACGGCTGCTCCTTGAAAGTCAAGACTATGGCCGGTTTCTCCTATGTGAGTCGCAAGCCGTGAGTCCGGGTCTAGACCCGAGTTGCCACTTTGTGCTCAGGTAGGCGGGTCTGCAATTTCCGCTCGGTTTCCCCAACGTAGTTGCAGGCTCTATCGTTACAACGCCCCTGATAGACAACTGCTGCCGCTTCAATGGATGGCAGTGTGTTTCTGGGCTGCATCAAACGGCTACGAATTGTTGCCTAGGGCCGATGAGCAATGCCTATCCTGGCAGATTGTAACAGTCGTGAAAGCGCTCGGAGACTCCTTTAATGTAAGGAATTGCCTTCCAGACTTCGGGTTGTTCTTCTTGTAGCCGTCGTCTGCTCACTCGGCGTGCTTTGCATGCCAAAGTAAGCTGGGCATCAACTGGCCCGAAGGAGGTCATGAAGGTATTGTCATTCAATTCTTTTGTCGGCTGGTGTGCTGCAGTGTGTTTCAACTCTTTGGCATAGAGTACGGACACAGCTGCGTTTGTGAAAATAGGGGTGATTGCTGTTGGAGTGTAATATTTGACATGTGTTGGTGGCTTTTCTGAAAAGGGCGGTTTGCAATTGCACAACTGAACACCGACGCATAAGGACATCGAGGAAGGGAAGTTGGTTGTTTGCTTCAGCTTCCATCGTGAGTTGGATATTTGGGTCAACCGAGTTCCGTAATTCTTCAAGATGCTCCACATCAGAGGATTTGACAGTGCGAAAGTGTCGTCGACGTAATGCGCCCAGAACCTTGTTGGATACTTGGTGAACACCAAGTGTTCTATCCGTTGAAGAACCAATTCAGCAATCAGCTCCAGTATGGGGGAGCCAATGGGGTGCCTTTTATTTGTTCATACATTTGTCCACCAAAGGTGAAATAGGTTTTTAGGCAATACCGCAAGCGCCCCATGAGATGTTCGGTCTTCAGGAGTCGTCCCTCTCATTGTAACGATCAGCCAGAAGTTGTCTCACAACGCCAATCGCCAGTTATTGTGGAATGGAGGTGAAGGCTGAAACGACATCAAAAGATAACATGGATTCATCTGGTTCTAATTTCAGATGTTTTAAACGTTCAAGGAATTGATTAGCATACGCCATTGTTGTTGGCGGACCTTCTGTCAGGAGCTTAAAACGAGTAAACATCCATTTTTCCAAACAGTGTGTAGGAGTGCCACGTTGGAGATGATCGGTGGTATGTTCGCTTTGTGTGCCTTCGACAGATCGTTCCTAGTCGATTTTTGCACTAAGCGCTTTGCTATGGGATATCCCGCCAAGCTCTCCGTAACGTCACCAATACTATTCCCTTGTTCCGGTGGGCACTTCATTTTTCTGAGATTACTGACCTGGATTTTTTAAGTTTGTTAACCTGGGTTCTTATTCCAATACATGTCACCCCTGACTGTCATACCCGCTCGTGTGTGGAAGCATAGGTGCAAAGGCAACTCCAGCTCGGTGGATCTTGTTCCCGTCAGGGTGGCCGTCTCAAGCGGGAACCAAGGTGCCCAGGAGGCAGCTGACAGAACACTGCCGGACGCTAGGCTCACAATCGACCCAAGACTGCTGCTTGAGATCCTAGGTTACGTGATACCGGTGTTTGTCAGTCTGACCGGACTGGCGACTAAGCAGTCCATCCTGACGGCGTGGGCATTCCACTTTCTTAAATACTTTTCATGGCTATGGTCTAGTGCTAATTAGACACGCCTGTCTGCCAGTGTTCTCACAGACACACCCGCACGACCCAATTAACTGATCAATTAGCACGTGATTTGGGCCTTCATGCCGTTCTTCCGCAGGGCAACGGTATAGAGAAGGACCTCAATTAACTGTCAGTAGACTGCGGATCGTGTCTTATGGGGTTTTATCTCGGCACACATTTGCAGGCAATTGCAGGGCTTACACTGCCAACAGCGATTACTTCCCAACGAGCTCGCACCTTAACTTAAAGTCCGTTATTTTGTGAAATTTACTTTTTGTCTAC